ATGTCAATATCACCAATGAAATTCCTCGTCGGATAACAATTTTTGGACAAGTTTGATCATCGCGAAGCGGTAAAGCCAATGAAATTGAAGATATATTTGATATCGAGGAAAAGTGAGAAGAGTACGGTGATAAACATCAGCGGCCAATTGAGCAAATATGTAATCACAGAAGCTATACGACTGATAATAGCATACGTAATTGCAGTAATCATCATTGTATGTAATATATAGCAGAGAGATTGCTATTTTGAGCAGAGAGCAATACTTTACTAGATATAAAAGATGAGCTCTCGATTTTAATTAAAAAAAGATATTATATATAACATCACATTTTGAAATATTTTTGTACGACATATTTAAGTAAATTTCCGAGATTTAATTCGAATTTAATTCTTCTGAGATGAAATCTAACATTTCCATAATGCAAAATTATTATCACCCGTCACGCAACAGATTTATTCGAATCCTGTTATTCGTGAGAACAGATATTTGTACTACGAATTATATACTATTAGTGGAGAATAAGAAATTGATTTCCAATTGATGAGTAAAGCTGCATATGAGATTTACATTTCTCGAGATACACATTCATAGTTGATAATCTTCCGAATTGATTGTCAGTTTACGAAACAATAATTCATATAGATAACAGATCATGTGGATAAAAAAGACTGTTGAAGGAAAGATATCGTAATATACATAAGGCTGACGAAAGATATTAACGCGAGCTTAATGACAACATAATGCTTGAAATTTCTTGGAGCGAACCTGCAGAAATGGATACGTTTCTGTTACGCCGGCATTGGTAAATGGATCTAACAAGGTTGATTCGTCCTCGACGACAGCGTGGTGATTAGGTCAAAGAAGGATGTATTCCAAGAAACGAGAAGGCTAACGAGCGTCGCTAATGCGGGAAGGACTCTATTCTCGCAGGACGGACGGCCTAATATCGGATCTCATAAAATTCCGAAGCTCGTCTCGTAAGCAAATATGCTTCTACCGATCCACTATGATAGTCATAGATAAGACCTTAAAGCGTTCACACGATAGTACGAAAAGCGGATACACGTTAACTGATTTGTTAGGAAATGTTAATCCGTAAAGGGAAACGCATGCTACGATCGATCGTAATGAACGAGCTAAATTTTCAAGGTCGTGGTGCAATGAGAATATAGATTATCAGCGCACAAACAAATGAGAATAGATACGATTTGTAAAATTATTATAGAATAACTTTCTATAAAATTTTTCATTACGACAAATTCTTATTAACTTTTATCAATTTCATAAATAAATTTTTATGTAATAAAATGAAAATATTTAATAATTTCCATGCCATTATTATAATAAAACACGGTTTTCTATAAATAATAGTGCTGAGGACTAGATTCACTTGACAAACGTTCGAAATCTAGTTTCACGTCGTAGAGGTGCAATAGCTAAACCTCCTAAATAGAGCCTAACTGAAGGTTGGGCCCAATATACCGTGCCATTACTGAAACGTCGAAGTATTACGGAAATGAATAGCCCACGATGCGTTAAGCGTATTATAACGATCAAGAATTACGATGATTAGCAGGCCACGCGGTGACCGTGTAACGTCGGTCCGTCCGTTAAGTCCCCCGGTACGGTGGGCCCTCCTTATTAAAGCCCCGTGACGCGCTCTCCACGGAACGATCGCGTCCCCATAAAAATCTCTCTCTTCCCAAATTGGGCCGTGAATTACAAGCCGCGGTCCCGGCGCGCGTTTGCGTCCCTAAACGACTCTTTTAGCTCGGCAAGTAGATACTATAGGTGCTATTAACGCCGGGCAGTTTATATACACCTAATGCATCGTTATGCGGCCCCGGCTGCCAGACGCAAGTACGACTCCGCGGAAGTGTATAAATTACCGTCGGTATTTCGGTAAATACGAGTAATGTCAACGCAATGGTCCAGGCATTAATAGACGATGACGAACGGGTTCGTTGAACCATCTTAATCAAATAAGAACGCAACCGTCAGGTATGGTTTTTACGATGACCCGACTTACAATGTGTTACTAGTACTGTCATAATCTTTCTGTCATTCCAACATAGAATAGTAACTATATACTCAGAATATGCAGTGAATAACTAAAGATTATTTTAATAACCAAGTTATTTTAACAACTAAACAATTTGCAAGAATATGCAGAATAACATTAATCGTGCAATTAATAATAATTTTCTAAACTTAATGCTGTATCATTTCGTGTGCCAAAGAATACTGTGCAATAGTGGAATCGTAAAAAGATCGTGAAGCAATTATATAAGAATGTTCTTGAAATAAAGTCTGAAAAATGATTTCACCGATGTAAATTTTCGCGAGAAATCGAACATACGACAAGACGCTCACAAAATCGACAAATCAAAATCTTATTCAGGATTTCTCATTAACATTCGTTGAAGTTAATCGGATATCGGGCAAACAACACCAAAACAGCACCTGCAGATGCGCTAGTAATGACTATGGCAGCAGCTGATGACGCCAAACAAATAAATCCGCGCGACACAGCGCGTAACGAGCCTACCGTGATGAAAAAGAAAAGGAGACGACGCCGCGTTTCGCGTGGGCACTCAGTACACTGGCGCGATCAACCAAGTACCACACAACGATTAAGGTGGAAAATAAATCGCTAGCGAGAAGGCGAAGGTGTGCGTCGGCGCTACGGAGTTCGCGACCACCTACGCGTTTCACGACGCCAAGGGAGAGCCGCAAAAAGGCGGTGAGTCGATCGCGAGAGAAGGTTCGATAAATAAAAATATATGTACAAAAACCGACGGAACAAAGCGGTACTGACAAAGAGAGACCAAGAGATCGGGGATATTCGCGACAATCGAAGAAGAAAAACGAGACGTTCCTCTTATAGAATACATCGCGCGACGGACGTTTCTGTATGCAGATCTAAAGTGCGCTCTCTAGAATTAATAATAAGAGAATTATACAGAAAATATTACCGAGCGGATTGGAAACATCAATATCGTTCGATTACCGTGATCAATGCTATTACCGAAACGAGAGAGCGTATCGCAAAAGGAATCGCGTAGATACTCAGGATGGAAGTATTGGATGGAGCATCGGACACGTGACTGCAGGTACGCATCAAATGGCTTTAAAAAAAATGCTTTAAAAAAACAGAAAGTGAAATCTTGACAAAGTGCGAGACTAAAAACAGAAGATACGATCGATCTCATCTCAATTTCTAGCCTGTGCGACTAGTCGAGAGGCACAATTTAAATTTCACACATAGAACATATAAGGTCATATTTATTTCTTATGAGAAAATTTGCCGATGTAAAATTGGTCTTTTATGGAATAAAACATTGTCGAGAATTTTAATTCGAAATTAAGTAAATCTTTCTATATAAATTCAATTTTGCGGAGAAAAAGAAGGGATCTCGAAATTGTTTCCAGAGAAGTAATTGAACACAATTCTTATAATAATAAAATGTGACACTGTAAAATATGTGATCTTTTATCTTTTACACAAGATTATTATAAAAAATATGATATAAAAGGAAGTTCTCGTGCGTCTACTCTCATTATTTTTCATTCACTTAAAGTTTCAAGGCCATAGAATAAACTTGATTTTACCGACGGCAAGAATGACAGCTTTGTCACCTTTGACCAAGTATCTCTGTGTATTTTGTATCACGCGTGATGAGTGCGAATTAGTTATGCGCGTTAAGATTCGCAGCGGCGAGAAAAAGAAATCAAAACTGAGCGAGACGATTCGTGTAGAGACGATCGGCAAACAAACTAAAGAAAATTTAGTAGAAGCGCAGCCGATCAATACATAATAATCTAAAATTCTACATACATAATAATCTAAAAAACCAGCTATGCGATAAATGGATTTTTCCACTATTCGTATAATTATTCATTTGAACTTTTTCTGCTTGTCGTCATACTGATATTTAAAAGACAGTAGAATTTAATAACAGAAAATGAATATGAGATTATACGTCCCATACCACAATACAATTACTGTACCATAAACTGATCGGATAATTAATAACTTCTACGTAAATCACACAGTTTATAATCGTCTAATACTATACTTCATGACGTAAGATACTTTCAGTAAATAGTACTGTACGAACCGTGTACGTCAGCTTCGCCATCTGCCTAAGCCTCTTTGAAAAAAACAATCCAAACAGGAAAGGAGATGAATGAGACGAGAAGTAGAGAGACAAAGGAAGACAGAGAGAGCGAGAGAGGAAGAAATCTTCGATATTATGCCCGGCAGCGACATAGGAAGACGCGAGATTCTCAGCTCCGCGCTCGACTCCCGGGTAGTACAGATATCGATGATATTAATATTGATGACGACAATAATAATAATTAAAATTATAATAATCGCAATAATAAGGAATAATAATAATAATAAGTGACAATAATAATAGTGGCGAATATTAAAATAGCGATAATAATAAATTCACCGCGTTAACGTCGGAGATTTGTGCCACAATTACAACATTTTCTCAAGACCAGACAACGAACGTCACAATAATATAATAATAATAATAATGATAGTATATAATAATAGCAATATAATAATAAACATAATAATAATACAATAATGATAAGACATAGCTAACCTTCCGATTTATACATAGACATAGAGTTTTCGAATGTAACGCACCATTCTGCGTCTTCATATACATATATATATCTTTTTTTCTATTTATATATAATAATAAAATATATCTTTATCTATATATATATAGACTCGTGTGTGTATATATACATATATATTTATGTTACTTACTCTTTATACAGAAGGGGTTTTTCGCGTGAGGGGGGAACTGTCTTGCTGTCTCGCTAGGATTTCGCACGCGTTTTTCCAATACGCGGTCTCTCTTCGATGTGCACCCTGTCCCTTTATATATGTATATATATAAACTGTCCCTCTTTTTTACTTTGTCGCGCTGCATATTCCTTGTCTCCCTCCTCTTGATTCTCTTTATATCTCCTTCCTCCGTTTATTCCAGCTCCCGCGTCTGTTTTTTTCGCTCGTTGTCGACAATGACGACGACGATTCATGCTCTCTCTCACTTAACTTACTAGCTTTATCTAGTACATTATTTACAGTCCATATTTACTTATGTTACATCATCCGCTGGGTTTGCTTCGAGCAAATCCCGCGCGAACACAGCACTCGCTTCTTACGTATGTTCTTTTCTTGACGCCCGTTCGTCCGTCGCGAATTTCGGACCCCGCGGGAGATAAGGGAAAATCGCACGCGCGCGAAAAGGCATCCTTGTGATGCGTGTTTCGTGTCCGATATTCCCGCTTTGTTTGCGAGCGAGAGACAGAGAACACCTCCATTCTTTTTAACCGCACCCTCACCCGAGTCCACTTTGCGTCCGCGCACCTCGTTATTTAACCATCCTTTCCTGGGTCCCCGTCGGAGACCACTGAGTTAACCACTTCCGCTCACCGACGATGATGAAATAACAACAACAACAACAGCAAACAGCCAACAAGATTCGCAATCCAGCTCGGACTTAACTAACGGACGAACGGGCTCCGACCTGGCCGCGCGAAGGAGGAACGTCATCACCACGACCGTCTATGGTACCCTTCGAGAGAACGCCACTGGCGGCTCCTCTTGCGTCGCGTCACGAAAAGCACGATGAAGACATTTCACTTATCACCGGGACATCGTCGTTGGACGATAAATAGCTGGAGCCATGTGAGCAACGACGAGTTGACGATGACGGTGATGATGATGAGGATGAGTTTTCGATGACGAAGATATCTTAAAGAATTCGAGCGAAGAATGATCATGATGTTCGCCGACGGCTGCGATAATCACGGCAACATATCCTCTCTTATTCCATATTTCTCTTGTTCCGTCTGTTCCATCCGCAGCTTTCATCCTCTCTCCAGATCTATGCGCGCGGTCAAGGTCGACAAAAAATTACCGACCGTACGCGTCAGCTCCTCAGCCTCCCCGGTGGACCGGTCTCGGCCTCGTTAAACCCCGTTGAACCTCGTCGAACGAGCCACCATTCCGTACCCTCATCTTGGTAACGAGCGCCACTGTCCGATAGATAGAAAGGGCGCCGCGAGTCGGTCAGCTACGAGGTCGTGTAACTGCCGGTTCGTGCCTGAAGGTAGTGATGATAGAACGGCGGCAAGGTCGTCGTCTCTGCCGTTGACGACACATTCGCCGAGTTCTGCGAGGTTACCGCGAGGCCCAACGGGGGAGGCCCCGGCGAACGCTAGTGGGCCGCAAGCGAATGGGCCGTGAGGGCCTGAGGGCTGAGCATTGGTGGACTGTGGCTGTGACCCATGGGCGAACCATGCAGATGATCCTGAGGATGATAACCCTGGTGAAGACCGCCTTGGTTCTGGTGGCCCGGTGGCATACCTTCCATCATGCCGTCGCCGAGTGTATTTGGCGGCGTCATCCTCTTTTCCTTTTGCCGCCGATTACAGAACCACACCCTGACCACTTCTTTCTCAAGTTGCAATGAGTCCGCCAGCGAGGTGATTTCCTGAGCCGACGGTTTTGGCTGTTTATGGAAGTGTTGCTCGAGCGCACCCTTTACCGACACTTCGATCGACGTTCTCTTCTTTCGCTTCCTACCCTGGGCAGCAATCTTGTCGATGCTCGTCGGCGATCCGGTCGTCGAGTCCGCTTCCTCTAGCCACTTCTGTAGCAGCGGTTTCAGCTTGCACATATTTTTAAAGCTCAACTGTAGAGCTTCGAACCTACATATTGTCGTCTGCGAGAAGACGTTGCCGTAGAGAGTACCGAGCGCGAGACCGACGTCCGCCTGAGTGAAGCCGAGTTTGATGCGCCGTTGCTTGAACTGCTTGGCGAAGGCCTCGAGATCGTCCGATGTCGGTGTGTCTTCTTCGCCGGCGCTGTGATCCCTGTCGAGAGGATGACCCGCGTGCAAAGGATGCCCCGACGGTGGACTATGATTGTGCGCGTCCCTCAAGTGGTGAGGTAGACCGGTCTGATGGTTGTGCAACTGATGTGGATGCTGATGAGGGTGCTGATGCAGCATACCGTTCATCGCTGCATGGTACTGTTGGAGGGTGGTGGGCGAGGCCGCACCACCGCTCGGGTTATAATGTGCCGACGGGACAACCGGTGCGTGCCAAGAGTGCGGCGAGGCCATGCCCGGGGACTGATGCGGCCCCCGATGGTGCATCCCCTGGTCCGTCGCGGTCGCCGCGGCCGCTGCAGTTAACGGCTTCACATCGAGACTCGTATTTGCCTGATGGGGATGATGATGGGGATGATGGCTAGTATGATGCATACCCATCGAGGCCGCCCAAGGATCGCTACCAGGCTGTAAGCTCACCCAGGGATTCGCCGACGAAAGACTCGCCGGATGGGAAAGTCCGTTTGGCGACGGCGAAGACGTCACCTGATGGTGATGGTGATGGTGGTGATGATGCTGCGGCGCCGTCATGTACTTCATTTCACCAGCGTCGGCGGCGCTGCGGGGCGAGCCCGAGGAATAGCCACCCACGGCGATGTTCATCCCGATCGTTGTACCCGAACCACCATCAAGGTCGGTAGACACTGCGCTACTAACCGGCATGTACGTGGTAGCGGCCATCTACTTCCTACTCGTCGAGAGGCTTCGTGAAACCTTCTCGGTGTGATTCTCCACCGTGGATTGTCCACGGGGTACGTTTTTTGTTCGCTCTCCTTTCGCAAACAGTCCCGTGAACTCCTTATTTTCGTTTATAGATGAAAAAAAGAAGACTTTATAATTTGATGAAGAATTCCCACGAGAACGAATCGAGATAGAATCTTCTGTCGATAGAATCTTCTCGCAGAACTGCAAATGTAACTGTTATTAATTATATGTCTAGTCACCTCACGATCGAATGATTTTCGAAAAGTAGATCTCTTAGGAATCACTGATCACTCGTTGCACAATCCACAGTTCGCGTCGACGCACCGGGGACCAGACAAAGCTGGTCGTTCTCGACAAAGTTTCGTCCATAGTTTCTCAAAAATGTCATGTATGCAACAATACGGAAACATCGACGAATTCGCAGTGAAAAAAGATTGTCGATATACTATTTCTCTCGTTCACTCCGACGGGGTGGGTCCCCGCGGAGGAAAAGCGCGTCTCCAGATCGGAGCACCGCTCTGTCGCGGCGCTCCGGAATTCAATTTTTCCTCTTGCTCTCTTTCTCTGTTGTCAGCCCTGTCCCGGCCACTCGTTCCTGCACGAAAATTACACGTGAAACAAAAGCTCGCTTCCTGGCTATGTACTGACCAACCCTCGAATCGAGTCGGGAAGTCACTCGCGACGAGGATATCGATTCAGCCGAGGTCACACATTCCTGGTGGGGATTCGAACTTGTCGAGTAATCACTAATCTTGTCTCGATGATGACGACGACGGCGATGTCCACGGTGATGCAAGGATTACTCCGCACTGGCGTGTCTGTAGCCCCGACGTAGTGAACGCGTACCGATGACGACGATGCACGACGCGACTGCACTCGGGGGTTGCCACCGCGGACCGACGACCGAGCAGCGACCGACCGACCGACCGGCTCGGCGTAAAGGGACGTACGACGGTAATCGCGGAACGGAAGAGACTCGACTCGGCGGGAGTAGAGTAGGTATATGATGTCGTGCGTGTGTGTTCCTTCTGGTGGTAGATGTCCCTCTCTTTACGTGAGTGTACGTGTGCGTATACATACGATATACGTGTATGTGTGAAAGAGCGTGTGATGAGAGAGTATAAGGAAAAAGAGAGCGAGAGAGAAAGAGTGAGAGAGTATGTATGTAAGTGTGTAAGTGTATGTGTATGTGTGTATGGCGACGGAGGAGAGACGGGTTAGAAAGATCTCGCTCGGGCTCTCATGCGTTATGCATGTCGTAGCTGAAAGTAGCGACTGACTGCCTCGCCTCGTAGCTCGCCCGAGGTTCCCGAGCTCCCGGAGCCGCTTGTGGTGGAAGTTCGTCATGCGCGTCGCTGTCGTGCACATCCCTACCACTGCTGGCTGCGCAGCTCGCAATTGGACGAGCTCGCAAGGTGGCCGTCGACGTACGTCAGCATCAGGCGGAACCTACTCTGACCGCGCCTACAAAGGCAGGCAAGCCACCCCAGGCGCCAGTCCTTCTCGACCCCCCTTGCCGTCGCTTGACTACGTTCTCGCCTGGCTAACAATGCTCGTTCGCTGACGCTGACGCTGCCGCCACCACCACCACCACCACCACTACCACCACCACCACCACCACCACCGTTAGCGCCGATGTTGCTGTCGACGTTGCTGCTGCCGCGCCGCGCCAGCGCTGCCACACCGTGCCGCGCTACCACCGCCACACCGTACCGTGCCACATCGTGTCGTGCTGCGCTGTGCCGCAACCGCACCGTTTCGCTCTGTTCTGTTCCTGCCGTCGCGATTAGGAGAAGCGCGATTCGAGCCGATTCAACATGCGGCCAGCGCACGTCTACGTTCGACATGTGACGCAGCTTCCCGCGACTTCACTTCTCAGGTGCACTCAATTTCTCACCTCTATGCAGCTCTCCTCGTTCATGTATATCTCTCTCACCGATTATCTCGTTTTTTTTTTTTTTAAACAACGGATGCCCTCGGATATTTTTTCACGATCACGGTCGGTGATCATTGTCGCGATCTCTCACGGCACACGCGCGCAGACGCAACAGGTACTGATTTAATAACGAATAATTGTATGTACGACGAGGCACGGTAGACGTCACGATGCGACGCACGGTTCGAATAATCCCATCTTCGGGATAAAGTAGGTATATCTTGTGAGAATATCCAGGGTTATGAGAATCGTATGTGGGAATCACGCACTTAAGGCGTTATTAATTCAAGTAATTATAAAGTATATAAAATAATTAAACCACACAGAGAACCTTCCGTCAGGACACAAATCACAAGAGTCTCATTGTTTCCATCGAGCTTTTGGAACACGCATATCTGATTGTGCGAGTTTATTCTGCTGCGTCCTACGATTCTTCCACGAAAACGATGATAGCATACTCGTCACGTACGCAAACGAAAGATCAATTTTTCAGGCACCGCCGCGGTACAATCCTGTCCGTCGACAGTTTCATTTCCTTTTCGCGTAGCTCGCGGTGCAACAGGTGCACGGATAACCGTTGGTTTCGGCTCGTTCGCTGATTACGCACGCCTTCGTTATCGATATTCTGTACCTTGCATCGTCATCGCGTCTCATAGTGAGTGAGAAAAAAAGAGATAAATCGAAATGGATAAAAACCATCGCGTCACACAAAATCTCAATTTATATGATTCTAGGGAAATTCTTCTAAAATAAAAAAATTATAACGACTATGCTAAAAATACTTACAATATTCCATAACAGAAAATAGGATATAAGGGTACGAATCCATATATATTTTTCCTTTACTTAAATATTTCTCAAAAGAGATGTTTTATTATTCGCAATATAATTAAAATTTTCAAAAGAAATCTAAAGCAAAGACAAATTGATCAATTGCGGATTACACAACAGCAACAGGTACTCATTCGGGATAATTAATTATGGAGAAAGATTTCCCGATCTCGCCCGTGAGGTGGGTGGCATCAATAAGAATGAACTGAGCACCAGAAACGAGCGAAAGCGTGTAAGTGTATTGAGAAGAGCGAAGAAGAGAGGAGGAGAGTAGTCGAAAACGAACGCGCGAGTGAGCGAGGTTTAGTACATTTAAATGAGAGCCACAGGTAGCAGCATTATGCAGTACGTGCCAGCTACCCCTCAGGAGGGGTGAGTTAGATCATCGTGTGCCGCGGGATCCTCTTGTGTCGTAGTCTGTTTCAACTACCCGACTGGCTTTGCGCACCTTCACACCTGTGGCCATTCGCGTTATTGTTGCCACTAACTTCCTTCGTTTTCTTGTATTTTATTATTCGCGCGTGCGAGGAAGCGCGACTAATTATCGCTTGTACGAGACGTAAGTTTTTCTGCACTTCAAGCGTTACGGTAAAAAAAAAAATAGAAACACAGATGGACGCGCGATACTCGTCCTTCTCGCCTTGTGTGTGACCCCAGCAATACAATATAAGAAAATTTAATAATTACCCATAATATGCTAGTCGATTATCTAATATATGAAGAATAGACGTTATAGATTTACAACTATTTCAATTATTTTTAATTAATTAATATTAAATTTAAAATTATACAGAAATTATACGAAGATTATACTAAAATTAGCTTAAATGTTATTATATACATGCGTCAATTTTTCAATGGTAAAGAAGATGAATATTATACGTTAGAAAAACTGTGCTAAAACATTTTATGACTTCGAAACAGGCACGTATAAAAAATCTCGTGATTTGGAGGAAATCCCTGCAAGACATTCTCCAAATAATTTTCTACAAAGTGCAACAGTTGGCCGTGGCGTTTCTAGGTCGACACGGTAAAACTGAGGCCCTCTTAGCGCTCTAGAGAAATCGTGTCGGTGGATGGCCGTTATGCTCAAAATATTGTGATGTTTCGTAGGCTTCGTCGTCCATTAACGACGATCGGTTTCACGGAATTCGCGAGACTTCACTTTGACGGATTTTATTGCACGTCTTTTTTATCGCCGCCACGGCACGCCGCCAGCGACCGCAAAGCTCTGTCGCTGAGAGAGAAATTATGCATTCCGCGTGTACGCGGGTGTACGTTACCTGCGAATGGCCTCCGGAATTTCACTCGCCTCGTCCCCTTTCTCCATTCCTTTGCCGCAAATATTCAAGAGTACGCATGGTTTGTCTCCAAAGTTCTTGAACAAAACATTTGAAATCTTACATGCTATTAAATGCTTATAAAAAAAAATAATGTAAAAATAAACGTTAATAAATGTATTACCAAATATGTTGCATGTACGTGTAGATAAATCAGAATGGAAATCAGAAATTAATTTTTTTACTTTTTATGACACTGCAGATTATTCTCATAAATCCTCACATAAATTCCTTATGTATCAGATTAACACATCATTTTAAAGCTAATTTTGATTAGAGTCGACTAGATATAGCGAAAGATTAGCCGTCTTTGTTCCTTTTTATGATTTTTAACCTTTCGCTATCGTCAACTTTTCACGGCGGTGCCGATATTATGGTGATCTATGAGCGGCTGAATGAAGACTCGCGCGAAACGTGTAAATTTGTGTTCGTTACGCGCAGCACGGTAGCTCGTTGCTGCAAGTGCCACTGCTTGTCGTAGGATACCGTAAACAGGCGGAGAAGAGAGATGGCGGAGCAATAATAGGATCGTCTTTACATATCTATTGCTGAACTGACAGATTATGAATGGCACTGTTTAAAATGCCGAACATATCTCACAGCGCTCGTTCGACTGAAATAATATTGACGAATGTAACGGATTTTAACGTAATGCGCACGCATTCTCGTGTTAAGCATAACACCGAAAGCATAATTTTAGATAAAAGCGGAAGAGACTTTAGAGAGGAAGAGTGAGAATAGAAAAGGACACGGTTCTATACGTTCTAAACCTGTGTTTAAATACGACAAATTAAAAAAGGATTCGACAGTTTAATGCATCTTTTAAAATTATATCGGCATGAAGAAGATAAAGTTCATTATAGACGTAGTAAAAGAAACGATTTTGACGGTCACCATAACAATCAGCTGAAATGAATTAATTACAACAGTAAATCTCTTTTATTCTCCTCGTCTTATGATTACATATTTCAAAAAGATATCATGTTACCTTAAGATGCATTGAAATAAAGAAAAACTGCAAATTTATTTCATTATTATGACAAAAAGATTATTATTATTATTACTATTAAGATTATTATTATTACTATTAAGATGAATTAACGTGAGCGTAATTAATTACTATTAATATTATTTGATTTTCAAACGTATAAATATAAAAATTATTTTAAAATATTGATTTAAAAAATTGCAATATTAGTTTTTTTTTTTAATGAAAAGACTTCTTCCTTAATTGTTTGATTTATTTAATTGCAATTTACTATCCAATCTCTTCGACTATTATCTTTATAGCATCAGTCGCTCTCGCAAAATTTCCTCTTTGGATCGTTTCATTTGATCAAGTGAGCCGCGATATTATAATGCATCCTTAATTCGATTTCGTGTACCCCCATTGTGTCAAATTGGATTGAATGCTGCCGTGAAATATTTGCTTAGGATCCGATAGGTAGCTCTAGCTGGTTTCCACTTCACATACGGCACACGAGATAAACTCGGGAAGGAAGAAGAGAGATGAGAGGTAGTGAGAGAGGAAGACAAAGAAAAGAATAGAATAGATACAGGGAAACGCAGAAAACAACATAACTAACGGCCTAGTCTTGGCTACGTGAAAATGTTTTGCTACCTGAACATTTGCTCGCATGATTCTTTCCTAACGATTCAATCCTGAAGGGATCCCCGAACGAGTCGGTTGTGCCTTGTCTCGTAATCGAAGGTCCATATAAATGCGAAAACATTTGTGCAAAATACCACCATGAAATTGATTCTGTCCAATTGAGCGTTAAAATTAGATATTATGATACACCTGTCTCATAACATCTATTCATGGACATTTCATCGTAATTTTAAAGTATAAATTATTTTCAAATAATTAATAATTAAATATTCAGATAATTAATATTCAAATAATTAATTTTCAGAAATTATTGTACAAAAATCGATTTAACATAAAGTATACTTTAAGCGACACTTTACACACAGACTAAATAAGTCATATATTACATGGAACTACAAAACATTCCTGACCTTTACCTTCTTAATTTTAATATGTATACATTTGTTCGCTGACTGACATAGAGTCGGTAAGCATCAAAATGAGTGCTCTCCCTCTCTCTCTCTCGGCGACTCTTTGAAAAAATATCATTCAAATTCCAAATAATCGCCTCCCTCTAACCAGCCGTCATAAATGCGACAACGCTTACTA